TTCTCATAATATATGCCTTTATTTAGTACGTTATCTGCTTACTGTTAATATCCAACATGTTAACTTGGAAATATTTTCTTATTATTGCTTATTTGTTAATTCTTGTTAATCAAGAATGTTACGGCGCCGGTGGAGATGCCACGAACACTGGGACCGGTACTAACACAGGGACACAAGGAGGGGCTCGAAATGGTACTGGCTCAGGCGGTACAAACGCTGGAACTGGTTCAGGTGGTACAAAGACTGAAACTGGCTCAGGTGCTACAAAGACTGGGACTGACTCAGGTGGTTCGAACACTGGAACTGATGCAAGTGGTACAAACACAGGAGCTGGCTCAGGTGATACAAACGCTGGAACTGGTGCAAGTGGTACAAATACTGGAAGCGGTACTAATGGTACAAAGTCTGGTACTGGTTCAGGCGGTACAAAGAGTGGAACTGGCTCAGGCGGTACAAACGCTGGAAGTGGGTCAGGTGGTACAAACACCGGAAGTGGCTCAGGTGGTACAAACAGTGGGACTGGCTCAGGTGGTACAAACAGTTGGACTGGCTCAGGTGGTACAAACGCTGGAACTGGTGCAAGTGGTACAAACACTGGAAGCGGTACTAATGGTACAAAGTCTGGTACTGGTTCAGGCGGTACAAAGACTGAAACTGGCTCAGGTGTTGTAAAGACTGCAACTGGTGCAAGTGGTACAAAGACTGGAACTGGTGCTAATGGTACAAAGTCTGGTACTGGTTCAGGCGGTACAAAGACCGGAAGTGGTGCCAATGATACAGACCATAGAACTACTGTGATATTGCCACCTCTTGTTGGAGGATTTCCAGAACGGCTTCAACGTACTACAATCGTTTGTTTGTTTTGTAGCGTGATCAGTTTATGTTTGTTCAATCATTTGTGGTAGCTGATTACGAAAGAGAGAGACTGCGAGCGGTATAAGCGCAAGAACTTCAAAGTCACAGACATTGTACCAACTAAGGATTGTAGAGCGACGGTAAAGGTCCGCTGTTAATAATGTTTGATTTTTATATTTTAGGCTCAGGTGTGTATAAATGTTTGATTTTTGAATAAAAGTGCGTGAATGAACCAGTCAAAAAGATCAAGAGAAACGGATACGCTAGACAATGAACAGAAATGACTGATTAAACAGAGTTGAGCGAGTACAGGATTTAGTCATACTCTAGTAGAGTGAAGTACAGACAGATTCTTGAATACTTACAGATTCTTAATTACTTGAAGAAGTATTCAAGAACGGGATGTTAAAAATGTTAATAAAATTGCTAATCTATTTGAAGAAAAATGTAGGATTTTTTAAAATCTTTCTGGTTTTAAGAAAAAAGAATTTGGGAATAATTGTTTAATTCGCTCGAAACTAGGTTACTGAAAGATATAACGACTTTGCCAGATATTCTAGTATTAGTCATAGGCGGCGGAGCCTGTAGGTTAGGATAAGCCTGAATCTATCGTAGATTTACTAATAAAGCGTGTTTTTGTGTTATTTTCGATACTAAAAAATTGGGAGTTTGAGCCTATCCTAGACCCAATTTGTTCCGCCGCCTATAGTATCAGTTGAATAAAATTGTTTTATACTCACATTCATAGTTAGCCAAATATATGCGGTACTTGTAACCGTACTCGAAAAATCGTGTACTCGTCCATCTCTGGGGTGAAGTGATCTGAACGCTCTTACCACTGAAAAATCAATGCTTAAGATGCGATATCTAACTAAGTTATGATTATGGCAAAAAAGTTTGAACTAACTACCCTATCGTTTCTGGGAAGAACGAGTTTTTTTGCGACCACCCTCAAGTTATTGGTATTGCAGCGTGTTTTTAGGACAGTATGAAAAATATCTTTTTTTCTGAAATATAACTAATTATGAAAATTTACAAAGTATACCAGTATATGGAGAATTAAATTTCTATTGTCCCACATTGTCCGTTCATCTTACTATTACAGTCTAATTGCGAAAAATTTAAAGAATAAATTCAGATATGGCTAAATAACTGAAGAAGGAAACATCAAAAAAATTTTATTTTGACGCTTTTTACATATAGAATGGTCCGTCCAAAATAAAAACTGTTGTATTTTGTAGCCCTTGAAAAGCTCTACAGAACAGGCTAATAAGATTAAAAATATGCTTATCTAACACTGACTGGAATAATCAGGCAAGACAAACACGTTCATCTGAAAAAGTACTTAGAAATAGACCTTTGTCTTTTAAGCGTAGAGGCTACTCTCCAAATATTTCAGAGACTACTTGGCTAATTTTCAACTATGCAGGCAACAATAATAGGCTAGTATGCTGGAAAAATTTTCAAAAAATCCCTGAAGGTCCCAAAGTTATAATCAAAACATTGAGTACTTTCATCTGTTTACTTGAACAAACTCCGGTACGGGAAAAGCATCGAGTATTGCCTCATGCATCCCCGTGATCAATTTACTAATCGATGTATTTAGATATAGATAACTGTTTCTCTCGATGTAATTAGATAACGTTATCCATGAATTGGCATTTGCATCAGGTTTAACTTGGTGCATGTAGATGTATTGAGCAACACATCGAGCGAGGCAGCTATCTAACTCAATGCTTCACCTAGAGCATCTGGACAAAAGAGTAAAACATGTTGACTCATACGCCAGCTAAAGCACCTCGATATTTCGGTTGGAGCACTTTTGCTTGGAACTCTTTTTCACCAGATCGCACGAAATATCATCTATGCTCATTTTTGCGTCTCTATAGAAAAGTTCTTTTCTTGATCATAGTGATGTGTGCAACAGCGAAAGTCATGATACGTGATTTTTTCTCGAAGCCCTATTGCGACCGAGTATCTATTGTGTTTAGTAACACTAATATGAAACCGTATCGCTCATTTTTCACGCGAATAGCTACTAAACGTCGTGGACAAGAAATTGTACATTCCAAATAACGGACTATACCATGTGTGCATATGGAGCATCTTGGATTTCTCGTCATATCCCACTGTATCGACAAATCAAATGAGTTTCACATTATACTGATCCGAAGAATTACCCTACGATAATGTGATCATGCACGATTTATGCAGTTGATAATGACCGTATAAATAGGTCGAAAATTCGTACTTTAAGAATTTTATATTTTTAAATAAACTCTTAATCATGGTAAGCCAAGTTAAGGATGTAATTGCAATCAAGTTTAGTCTATTGTTGCCCATCAATACTGGCAATGTCGTTGATTACATTCATGGAGGAACGATGCATTCACAACAAACATGTAACTCGCTCAGTACATTGGCAGCCAGAGTTGGACAAACGAAATCGAATTTATTATTCATACCGGTTCTGTTAATTGTCTCTCTTACTCTACAACTAATTTAACAGTTTATAAATCATAGTAAAAACGGTGATCCGACTTCTTTATTTTTCATGTCACTCAGAAATGATGAATCGAACAACTAGAAAATCAATTAAAATGAGCAGATAGAATAGTCTATTTTTTCGTTTAGCAATTATTTCTGTTTGAGAAATATCAAAAATTATAGAGAAAAAAAGTGTTAGAATACTTATTTCATTCCAAAAGTCGATTCGGTGTCAAAGAAGATTCATTATAGGCTCATGTAAAAATTTTTCAAGTAGAGAGAAATATAGAGCGGACTTTGCTCTATGCAACGGTAAAAAAATTATTTTTTCATCTCTTTTATTCCACCTAGCGGACACAATGCGACTAAAGCGTTACTATATTATGCGTTACTAGTAACGAGTAACGCATGCGTTATTGAGTTACTCCGTTACTAGTAACACAATAACGCTTGCGTTACTGCGTTAAAGTAACGCAATGCATGAGGGAAAATCAGTCCTTAGTCCGAATAGCTTTATGCGCTGTAGCTCTCTCAGCACTTTCTTGTTTTGACTTAGGCCAAATAGCTGTAAAAGTTGTCATTCTACCAGCTCAAAATTTGCTTTTATCACACTGAGACAATCTGATGACACTTTACAGAGTAGTGGCCAAGACAAGCTCCAGCAATTTTAAATACCATTGGCTTGAAGAATAAGTAAATGTTTACCTCATCTCATGAAAAATATACCATAGTTAAGACAGTTCAGATGACTGTATTCTGATCCCTCTAATTAACCACTGAACCACCAACGGAACATTCAGGTCCTAAAAGCACCCGAAACAAGAATTGATCTATTTCGTATTGAGTGTTTTTTCGAATGGTGGATGCTGAATGTCGACATCCGTTCGAATTAGGTAGCACTGACATGAATCATCAAGAACATTTTATTATCATCGCTAGTTCTTGTTTTCACTTTTAATGATATTAACGCTGTTTTCTTGCTGGAATGACGAAAGAACAACAACGCACGTAAG